TAGTCCGCATAAGACTTGAAATCGGTTCACTAAATTATTATTATTTTATTGCCTCAATATATCTAGAATTCATCAAAGTTATCTTATTCGGTGCTTTCGACTTTTAAAAGTCGAAAGCACCGAATAAGATAACTTTGATGAATTCTAGATATATTGAGGCAATAAAATAATAATAATTTAGTGAACCGATTTCAAGTCTTATGCGGACTATTCCTTTGGAACCTTTTTTAGAGTCTGTGAATAACCGGGTTTTTTACAGTGCACTATGTGAAGAAAAATGAAAAAACAATTGAAGTATTCCTGAATAACTTTTTTAAACGATTATTCAAAAGAGTCCGGTGACACGAACAATAGAAAAATGTCGAAGATCGTTGTATGTATGTGACTGTATATCAAACATCAACTAACGAAAAGAATAATAACCGATAAAGATAAGGTTGGAACAACAAAAAAATTAATTAAAAACCACTTGTAAATTAATAATACAATAATAGTAAATATAAATAAAGAAACTTAATCAAAGGATTGATTGACATTTGATTGTCATTCGATATCTATGCACAGACTAGAGTAGATATAAGGATCATAGAAGAACTATCAGTTTATACAATTGGAAGAAAAACGACTGTTCGATGTATGAAGAAAAGTTATTAGTAGTAAAGTACTGCTCGAAAGATTTCACAGGACGAGAAGAACGATAAACTGGACGTTTTACTGTTTCACATGTAGTCGTTCTCTGAGTCGTCATAACACTAATTTACTATATACTAAAAAGTGATAGGAAAAAAAATTCCACACGGTAGTGCAGGGCGAGAACGATTCACACTTTAGTGGCACGAGACAGAAAATGACACCAAAAAATTTGGCATAGTTGGAAGTTAGAAAGCTCTTTCCTGTTCACCTTTGCCCCGGGCTACAACTCAACTAAGAAAAAATTTTAATTTAATAAAAAGTCAAATGACAGACATACTAACTTTATCTCGCTTTAGAGAAAAGTTTCATCCACAAATAACAAATCGGTGTTCCAAATGCCCATATTTTCCAGTACATTTGTCGCCCCTGACTTGTCAAAAGAAATGGTGCTGTGGCCATAGATATAAAAGTACAAGCAAAAAATGTTTCTTTTAATGGTAGTGTCACACGAAGTGGACGATCGGTTTCATCTATGATAATATCACTGCTTTTAAATGAGGAAGATTGCGCATATTCATAAAATTGACCAAGTATCCTAAAAAGTTATCACAGAAAAAGTCACTAGAAAACATTTATTTTTACAATACATACCGATCTTTTTCAACAAATCGATCGTATAGCCAAGATGAGACTTGTTCGACACTCAATGGAATATTATTGATTGGTATCCGTTTTATATGTAAATGAAGAGAAGATGATTTGCCTTCGCAATATTCTAGAAAAAGAGATTTGTTACTACAGTCTTGTACACAAGATTTCAAAAGTAACAGAGATAAATTCTTATAGAATGCATTACTCATTAGTAGTTACCAGGCATGGATGGTGCTGATAATCTTCGTTGGTTTTCATTATCATACGTATCGGAATACATCACCGTTACATCATAAACGGCATCTAAATTTGCGCGTAATACATCTAAGGCAGCAACGGTAGCACCAGAACGAGGATATAAAACATGTTCAAATGGAACAAGACCTAAAATAGAAGGTAAAAATTTGGTTAAAATAGAGTATGTAATGTTTACACACACACAGCTAACCTCTTTTATCCGAAAACATTTTTGATCGTTGAATGGCCTCATTATTATTATCGAGACTATAACGCGTACCTTCGGGAAATATAACTAACCATACCTGAAAATATAGATAGACATAGGCTTCAGTGAATGATCGGTAGCAAAGATAAATTCTTACTGGTAAACCACCTTGTTTAATTTTGGACATTCTTTTACGTAATGTATCTAATTCAACTTTTGCATTGCGTTTAACATAAACACAACCATGCTAAAAAGTGATGACAATCGTTCAGTCAAATTAACAGATTTAAAAAGAATGCCAAGAGAATTTGAAAAAGAAATTCGAAAAATCATTACAGTAACTTTGACTGCAAACTTGAGGGTTTATCTCATTCGTTTAAAAAGTCATCAAAATTGTTGAAATTTAGAGCAAAATTGCGCTAAATCCTCAACAATGATTTTTTGGAAACCAGAATCTTAACCCTGTCATTTTTTTGTCAACAAGATCGTCCCAGGTGTCGAAAATATACGTGAAAATATTTATTCATCAGGAAAAAAATCATTCATACGAAAATAGTCGTCTTGTTGTGACCTTAGACGATACGTTGAACGAATAAAATATACCATTCGATAAGGTTGGGAATGCTCATTCTAATCCACGAACTGTTTTTGATTTTTGTATCACGGTAAAAAAAGTATTACAAGATTGACCACTTTTTTATATGTTTTGGATACGTGGATATCGCCGGTTTTTAAAATTTCAAATGATTAGCTTTCTATTATAGAGTAAGATAGAGATTTATAAGGTGCATCTGATTATATGCTTTTTAGGACTCGGCATTGTACAGTTCTTGTTTAAACTAAAAAGGTTGGATATTGGGTACCTCTGTGATATCTATGTATACAAAATTTCTTTTTTATTTCTACTTTTTTGACAAACGCATTTTACCGTTAAATAGGCGAGTTGATCGTGCATTTATGCATGTCATTGGTCTATTGTATAATCCTAAGAAGGCTGAGAACCAGTCGAAAGACTAAATAATATTGTGACTTTTTTAAACGATCATTGACAAGCGCAAGCGTTACTACTGGGTACATAGCATTTTTGCTGATCATGATCTTTTAAAAAAATCACAATATTATTTAGTCTTTCGAGTGGTTCTCAGCCTTCTTAGGATTATATAATAGCCCAATGACATGCACAAATGCACGATCACCTCGCCTATTTAACAATAAAATGCGTTTGTCAAAAAAGTAGAAATAAAAAAAGAAATTTTATATACATAGATATC